GCTTGCATGACCATCTTTCTCATCCATGTGTTTGAAATCCTCTGTGCTACCAACCAATTCAGGATACACACTGACTGTATGGTAGCATTGCTCAGGATTTGGTCTGCATTGTATCACACATTTATTATAACTGCTCATGTCTTTGAACTTCTGCGGTAGGGTCCTGTGACATGTCCAACACACACCACTCAGAGCTCCTGCATATGTTTCATGTTTATGTCACTATATTCATATAAGCTCTGTTATAACTGGACTAAGTAAAGGTTACTGGATCACTCCACTTCTAATCCTTGGTTTTCAGATGCTTTCTGGCTTCTGAATAATGCTCTGGACTGGATTTTTTTTTTAATTTGCAGTTTGAAGTTTCTATCCAGGAAAGACCTATTTGCAGATGACTGTTCATTTGATTTTGTGCACATGAAGATTAGAGAGAGATACCCTTTTCACCAGTCTTAGAAAATGAGAATATGCTTTATTCTTTAAAAATAATGGGGGCTTCAAAATAGATAGAAAGACAAAATCTGGCAAGAAGGTAAACAACATATAAATAGAGTATTTAAGACTTTTCAAGTCAGCCAAGAAAGAGCAACTGACTTTGCATGCACACTCAGCATTTGCAAATGGAGGCTTCACCTGCAGATTACATCTAGGCTCCAGGTTAAAACCTCCCTCCAGAAGGGAGGATTTTAGCAGTGTGGGCTGATACATCATTAATTGTTTGTTAAAGTGTACACTCTATAAGGCAAACTTGAGGTCAACTGAACAGCATATTCTGTGAAAGCTCAATGTACTCTATGCACTGAAAATCCTGTACTCAGCACTGAAAACTAAAGCTGGCTTTGAGACAAACTGGTCAACGCTAAGAAAGATGGGTATTCGGACTAGACCATTCCTCACGCAGTACCGGCTTCACTGATTTCAGTGGAGTGTAACGAAGGACGAACCTGCCCCACCATTCCACTCTTGTGCACCTTTTTCTATTAAGTGAGAGGAACTGCACAGGACAGGGTATTTGGCCACATTCCAGTTCTCAAGCACAAGACACCAGACATTCTGTCCTCCAGCACTATCACTATACAAGCGGTACACAGCAAGGTGTCTGCGAGGGTAGAAAGAAGGGAGGAGGAGGAGGAGGAGGAGGAGGAGGAGGAGGACTGGAAAGAAGCAGCTGAGCTGTCTTGGGTATCATAGTTAAAAGCTTCTCTGTCATCTTGGAATCCCAAAATGACAACCTTGACTTTGCCCTTGCCCGCTTTTGGGCATTAGTATTAAGTCGCTATCTAAACAATACCCACGTTTCAGACAAAAATACTTATCACCAGCACTGCCATGACAGTAGTGATGACAGATACAGTTTAAAGTAATAATTACAAAATATATCACAGATATATAGCAAAAAGTTCTCAGTTTTAACAAAGCTTGTCCCTGTCTTAAATTAGGACCAATGTTTTTGAACATGTGGCGGTGTTTGACTATGAGGAAGCTGTTTTCATTTGTTTCCCAGGCAACAAATATTCCTTCATACCCCAATAAATAACTATAACTTAGAAGTATCATTTGATAAAGATACATCTTACTCTAAAGCAGTCAAGTCCCTTTATAAATCACATGAATTATTAATAAAACCTATCACAGAGTTTGTGAGCTCAGTATAGTTTGCTGGAAATAAAACTGCCAGCATATTAAACATAAACTTCAATTTGTTTTACTGATTTAAAACATAACACATTACAAATACCAGCAATGGAAAATATAATTTATTCCTTACAGATATTTAGTGATGTAATTATTTAGATATTCCTCCGTTCTCCAGAGAGGGTAGATAGAGAGACAGCTGCAATCAACAGATCATTTTGTTGTTATTGAGAAAAATGTGTAACTATACCAAGTTCTACAGTCCTACAATTATCACCACCATCAAGTTTAAAGACAACATACAAAAAACCAAGACTGTATCCAGAAAAAGAAAACACAGAGCCAAAACTTAGTTTGGCTCTCTGACTTCCATAACACTGGCAATGGCACTTGATGTGATGATTTCTTTGAAGTCTCTCAATTTAAGGGTCCTTTGCATGTTTTATTACTGATTTCCGTAACTCAGCAGGGGAAAGAAATAAGATGGCTGTGATTGCTCTTAGGGAAATGGAATGGTAAGGACTAGCAACCGGAGTGAAGTTGGAGTGTGGGGCACCAACATGTGCTCCCAGCAGGAGTAACATCTTCCCTCCAAATGCCACTTCTCTGGTTTGCAAAGAGTGATGAAGGGAGAATGGAAGGAGATGCAAGGCACGTTACATGTTATTCCCATCCTTGGCCATTTGCATCCTCCCTCCCCCCAAAATCGGCACAGCCTCTGCCCCAACAACAATAAAGCGTAAGGTTTTCAGTGATAACAGACATGGGTTTATATTACTGGATCCCCATTGTTTTGGTTTGTTCCTGCCATTACCCTTATGCTGATAATGACAAGCTGATGACAAAACTTTTGGCACAAGTACTCTATAAATAAAGAACATTATAAATACATTATTTTTAATATGTTGCACGACCCTGTAGACACCATGTCACGGTGCCAGAAGTAACTTAAATAGCGTGTGTGGGCTTGCAAAATTACACCCACACCCCCCCTCCCCCCCAAAAACTTCTCCTCCCTTCGGGCAGCTACTCTGGCAAGTGAATAAATAGTCACATCATTTGGTGTCCCAGACTCTGGAAACTAAGTGTAACTATCATGATGTTTACTGGCCTCCTGGCATCTGGAATCAAACTCTGCAATCCAAGCATAGGCACGTTGGTGCCCAAAAGCAATTTTCTTACACGTATTTTCTTTCCTTTCACCCTTCAAGTTTATTTTTGTCTCTGAAGAAAAACTAGATTCAACTCTGACAAACTCCCAACTACTTCCTAAACTTTCCATAATGTCCTTTGATTTTTTTCATTGTAACTATTCCCCAGCATGTAAAGCCTCTGCTTCTTGCTGTAAGGCCATCGATTTTCATAAACAGAAGGCTTTCTTGCAACACCCCTAATACGTCTTTCCTAGGTTACAGTGTAGCAATTTGGCAATCTGCTGCTTTATTTGATTTTATAAGTGTATTATTATCTAATACCTCTCAGTCACAACTTTGTAGGACGGGGTCAACCGGTAGAAGTGGCATGTTTCACCCATTTAAAACAAAAAGAGAGGGAGGGGGAAAAAGAGAAAAAGGAGAAGAAACAAAGTTTCAGTTTTAACAGATGCAAAGCAAAGACCAAATATTTTCCAGTCGGTGGATGTTGAGAAGAAATATGCCAAATACATTTCACAAGCCAGTTAAGCCTTTACTGGCACCTAATCACTGCCAGATGTTTAGAAGCAACACCAAGAACATCGCAAAACGCTGGCAAAAAATAAACAAATAAAATAGGGAGAAATAAAAGTCTTCCTCTCGGGATGTCGGGGAGGGGGGAGATAAAAGTTGGCGAGAGAAAACGTCCTGGGGAGAGCACAGACGAGGGAGGCGGGGGGGGGCGCACACAAGGACCCCCCTCCCCGGACCGGGGCTGACCAACACAAGCCAAGCCCCGTGCAGCGGGGCTGCCCCGTCTGCGCCCCGGGGTCGGTGTGCTTTGATTTTCTGCAAACCTACCCATATTTAGGCTACTGAAGACAGTGGTAAGATGATCCAGTTTTGACTATTAACATCAATGCTGCTGAAGCAGAGCTAGTGCAGTGTGCACCAATTCGATCTGGGAGCAAACAAAGCAGCAGAGACACCAGAGGGTCTTTCCCATGTCAGAGAGGAGGTGCACACAAGTTTGCCTTTGCTGTTATTGGTATCAGAGTCTGCTGAATGAAGGGTTGCCCAAAGAAAAGATTATTCTATGTGGAGCCTATGGCTCCAATAAGGATCATAGTGTACCAGAAAGGTCATGGTGCAGTATCACAGCACTAGTTGAATAACAGGTCAAAAAGCATTGGAAAGCACCACAGAAACCTATCAGGTATGATCTTGCCTGAGCAAGGAATGAAGGATTAAACCAACAAAAATTAATCATTGTAGAGCAAAAATTAAACAACAGAAATTTTAATTCCTTCAGTTGGTCTGATGACTTGAGTTGACATTCGCTTGAGTGCTTTTTGCTGACTTGGAGGCAGTACCTTCAGTTTGGGATTGCCGAAAATACTTGGAACACCAGCTGCAGTAGCCATTTGCTGCTTTAAAGCAAGGCTCAGATATCAAAGAGACTTGACTCACATTTTAGTTTATGCTCTGGTAGTTGACTGGAATATCTATTTTTGGTACAAGTCATGAGTAAAATACTTAAATCTCAATACAGTCATCAGGTAATTACAGATGTCCTGTAGTGCTGTGTTGGATTAGGACAACAGTTCTTGCAGTGTTTATAAAACCGATTAATGCTTGTTCAGTGGTGTGATTTATTTGGAATCCTAAGTTGATTCACAATTTTTGTTTTGAAGAATAAATATCATTCAGTTTCCCAAACTCAAAGATATCTAGACTCTGATCCAAAGCCCATGAGTGTGTTTCCAAGAAGAAATCTTTCCGTTAATTCTCATAGACTGGATGAAACCGATAGTGAAGCTCCATTTCTCCAAAGAAAAAGTTTGAAAACACAGAACTGAAGGAATGCTTTAAAAAAAGAAGAAGAGCATGACTTTAAATCTGTGTCATCAGGGAATGTGCAAGGAGCAGGACTGTGAAGGAATTTAGAAAATTCCTCAAAAGCAGCAACTGATAACACTTTTCTAATTCTTCAGACAGTAACCTTAGTGAACTGAAGGACAGCATCCAAAAATTGCAGAGACCAATGAGTGAACTGCTTGTGTCTGAGGAAAACATGTTCCTTCCTAATGGAAAGAAAAGTAATGAGTATTTTGAATTCATATAGAGTTTATGATTGAATCATTAGGTCTGAGATCTAACTCCACTCTTGTGACTTTAAAATATTTATTAATTTGCAGACATAGTGGGACGCTTCATCTTTGTAAAGCAAGTTTCTATATTATTTTTTGTGTGTGTTCCACATTGTATTTCTTATCAATACATTATATATTTATGTCTGATGTGCTTCTACTAATACTACTTTAAAAATCTAGTGTTAGTAAAGAAATTCAGGAAACTCACAAACTGTTTCATGTGTCAAATCTTTCCTCTAATCCCAAGTATCTTGTGTTTTGGTTTTTGAAGTAAGTATTCCTTTTTTCTTCCCACTGACCCATCTCCATCCACCAGAAAAAGGTGTAGCTGTTAGACACTATCACCACCCTTATCAGCCCTGGGATTAATGAAGGGAATGCAGATTGCTGATGGTTCATGGAGATGGGGTAATTGAGCAAGTGTACATAATGAGATGAGTATCAGTGGGTTATTGATATTATGGAGTATGTACTCTCTTCAAAACCAGTTTGATTAAGCATAATTTTAGATCCAAAAAGCACCCACCCCAACCACTGAGTGTCATAGTTTAGAAATACTGGCTTTAAAAATCAGTGAAATCATGTCCCTTTCCATCCGTAAATGGAATCAGCTCTCCAGTCTCCATTGTCTCTGTTTCAGTCGCCTGTGTGAACAGCTCCTCAAATTGCCGGTTCTTGTTCGATGAGCACTCTGAAAATGATGGTCTGAGCCACTACGTCCAGAGGAGACCTGCCTTATGTTTAGCCTGGTTTCCGACATCACATCCTACCTGCAGGAGGGGGGTTGCAGGGTGCAGTCTAAAAGCTGCTGATGTCCCTGGGTCAGGCTATGGTGAAGGTATAGGGGGGACGGTGCTGCAGTGGGCAGTGCCAACGGACACTGCAGTCCCCATGGCACTTCTTCCAGCCAACCTGCCAGGAGTATTTTGTTGGCAAAGGTGCCGCAGGTCCCAAGGTTTGAACCGTTTCTTGTTCTGGGTGAAACAGGAGCGCTTTACTGGGGCTGCTCAGAGCTAGACGGGGTGGTTGACCTGTGGTTTGGACATCTTTCTCTTCCCATGCCCTGTGACCTCTGCCCACAAGGATGTTCAGCCACAAGGACACTGGGGATCTTCCAGAGACATAACCTGTGGCCTGAAAAGAAGTTAGATCAGTTCTCCCAGATTTCCTAATTTCCCAAAAATCCCTAGATACCATGCAGATACCCCAGCATACTTGATTTGAGGTAACAAGAGCAGTCTCTCTCCAGCATCCCTCCGCTGCCCGGGTTTCAGCAGATGCTGACCCTGAAGAACAAAATTAGATGCTATTTTCAGATTTCCCACTCTTGTTTCTGCTTAGGTGCGAGCTCCCCGTGAAGTTGGACCTCCCAGACCTTAAACTTTATCTCAATTTCTCATTACATGGAGATCAAGAGATATTCCTACTAGCTAGGTGAACCACTGAGTACATATATATTTAGGACGCAATATGGTACATAATACAGGATGCAATATGTAACTAGCATTGCCTGGTCCTGGTCCTTCACAAACTTGACATTTTTATACATTCTTTTATATTTTTCAAGTTTCATTTAAAGCTATGGTGAAATTTGCCAAACACAATTACATTACCTCTCCAGTTAAAACCACTGATCTTCTTAGAAAAAGGTTTAAGCATATTTTCAGATTATTTTATTTTTAGGAGACTTTAGACTGTGTTCTAAGGAAATCTGATTTCACAGAACTACTTCATTTTAGGAACTTCTTTTGTTACTCTAGTTCAGGACATAAATTATGAGGCCTATTTTTTCATCCAATAATAATAATAATAATAATGTAACAACAGTGATCCCATGTTGCAGCCAGATTCAGACTCAGAGAAGGTCTAGAGGATCTAAACAAAACATCCTTGTTTAGAAAAGCTAATCTATTGTCTTAATATGGCTTGTTCATATGGAACTATTACAATTTATTCATCAAATGCTGAAATAAGGTACCAAAGTGAGCACTTTGTAGTTGCTGTGGCGTAGTGTGGCTTAAAGCACTTATCATCTACGTGTGTGTTGGTAATTTTTTCCTGGCTAGTCTTCTCCTGAGTATCAAGGAAATTCATTTATAATGATTCACACTCACTTTTACTCAGCAAAATGTGTTCAAATTCAGCAGTAATCCAAAAGAAAAAGATGAAAATTTCATCTCCCTGTATGAACTTTAGAATAAATTGTTCAGACTTTGCTGAAGTGATCTAAAACCAGAGGCAATGTGCTCAGGTCCTGTTCACTTTGATTCCACTTCACAATGGACCATTACCCTCACCTGGATCTTTCCCACAGCCTAACCTACAAAATTTTTTCAGCATCTCTCTTCTCCAACCACAAGCTCTTTGGCTATTTGGCAAGTTTTGGAAATGCTGGAAACCTTGGTCCATGCACATGGAGGTACGTGTAGCATTCTCTTTTGATTGGCAGCCTTCTCATTGCCTGAGACCACACGCAATGCAAAGGGCAATAATTAAATTAAAAAATCTGAAAAAGAATTGCATGAAGCACTGAGGAGAACTGCATGTGACATAGGAACCATATGTGGAAGATCATTTGTCTGAAGTAAGTACTATTTGGGTTCAATACAAAATGTGCATTTGAAAAGTAAGGGTTGAGTATTATAACATATTTTAATGATAAATCTTTTTCTCCACAACAATTTCATATTGTTGTTAATGACCATTTTGGACCTGTGCCCAGAGTGAAGACATTATCCTTGGATCTGAGTAATGAGTTTGTAAATGATCCTGAACAAATGGTGAAGTTATTTACTAATAATTTTGTTAAATCCACAGATGAGCCTTTTCTTAATCTTGGTAATTAGCATCATAATTTGAGGTATTTAGTTATCTAGACTTGTCTCTGACAAGTGAGGTTGTTTTTCATTTTTCCTTTCTTATTTTTTGATTAAATGGGTAACTGAAGGAGATTCTGAAAGCAACAAAACACCTGGCTGTATATTCACTATGCCAGAGTTACTCAGCGATACAGACTTGTTCTAGATATGGTTTGGATGCTGATCATGCAAAGACCCATGAGCCAGTTCTTGTCTTTCAATTGCTGTGACCTTTTTCTTTTAGAAACTGGATTTCTTGCAACGAAAACACAAGACAGCTGTAGAATAGGCTGGACAGTCACATTGCCCTAAATTTAAAGAAAAGGAAAGTGCTGGGATGCAATGAAAAGTACAGCTATTACAATTACCTGCAGATGATATTTAGGGACTACTGTTTCATATTTTTGATATTTCATGAAACACAACATTATGGGTTTTATTCATATTTTGAATCAAGAGTGATTATTCTGGCAATTTATAGACCAATTTTCTTGCATGGTATTTTGTCAAAATTGCCTAAAACCATTTTAACTGTTGTGTCTGCTGAATATGCAAACCAACAAAATATTTGACTTTTGTCCTACAAAATTTCACATAATGAAAAGTAATTTCATTACTGCTAGAGTGCTTAAATGTTGAAGACAGAAAAACCAAGACCAAATAATTAATGCCAAATTTTATTAGGATGTTTGCAGCAGTAGACTTTTATACATTAGTAATAACATTTTGTTTTTTTATAGTGTTTGTTTCTTTCAACACACACAGTAAAATAATTCTAATTTCCTCAGAAATAGCTTCCTACTGCCTGAGGTCTAACTGGGTTAGCTCTACGGCTGAAGTGTATCAAAATGATATGAGCCAGAGTTTGGTTCATGTTGATGGAAGGAGGTAAATAAAGATCATGCCATGTTTTGAGATTGTCCAAATGCCAGTGACATCCAGCTTCCAGTTATCTTTAGTAGGACCTAGCAAGCAAGAATCTAGAATTGGGCTCTGTCAGCCGGGAGGAGGATCCTCCTATGGTTGTTACACACCACACATTCCATCTGGGGTTCAGGGGCATGTTCTGCATGCTCCTGTCTGGCCCTGTGACTTCTCCTGAAGGTAAGGTGATGCACAGAGGTGCTTCTGTGAGGCCAACTGGCGCTAGAGGGAGTGGAAGCCGGAGTAATCTACTTACAGACACCAACACAGCTTGATTCAGGTGCATCCACTCCCCAGATTGCTGGTTATGTCAATATAGATCCACAGGGCAAGTCCAAATGCATCATATATGGTCTTCCTGACCTCTTGCCTTGCAGTGCAGACCTCAGAGTCAAACAGAGACTAAGCGAGTATGGCTTGTATACTGCTTGACCACAGGAGAGGAGCACAGCAAGAAAAGCAAATAGAAAGGCAGTGAATCCTCCCTACATAAAGTTAACATTATTGTAATGTATTTTGGCTCTTCTGCCTGTGAGTTACACCCACCAGGACTCCCTGACGCTTCAACAAGTGGGTGTAAGTAGGTCCAGGGGAATATTATATTACAACTCTTCAGCTCTGAATTTGGCCCAAAAAGTACAGAAAAAAACTTTGAAAATCAAGGAACATTATGATTGCAACTGTAAAGTATTTTGCTCACTATGTAGAACACATCTGCAATTTATGCAAATTACTGTTTATGAAGAATGTTGAACATTTGAAGTTTTGCTTGTTGAGGCATAATGACAGTAAAAGATAGACAGACACTCTAATGTATTTTTAGTCATATTTAGTAGGTTTACACTGGTCTTGCTTTTTAGAGTAAACAGACTTCAAAAGGAACGAATGAACCAAAGGATAAGTAGTGATAAATAGTTACTTGTATATTGCTTCTGAGATTGTATTTTCAACAGTTGCTTGTGATGCAGTATTTCTGTCTTCTTTTAGGTAGATTATAGGTCATTAGGTATTTACTGAAAATGGTAATGAAAGCTTTGGAGAGATCCCATGTCTTTTTCATTTTGTCAGGTTTCATAAATACCATGCACAAATAATTGTCAAAAAACATTACTGAGGTGGTGAAACTGAGCACACACAAGATAGGAAATGCCAGGAGAAAGATTTGCCACGGCACCTTAACTTACCTGTATATGTCTGGAATTACTGACAACACATATTTATTCCTACTGATAAAAAGTATTTATATTGATGTTAGTTTATAATAGTGTATTAATTTTTCTCCAGTAACTCCATTTATTCGGCACAGAGAAGGGACTAACTCATTTAATGAACACCCTTTCAATATTTTATCCTCTCATCATTGTTCCTCTAGGTCCCATTCACTGTAACATTCATGCTCTGATCTGAAGATAAAATTATTGATATTCTCTATGCCTGTCATCAGGGTAGTGTTTACATGTTTCACAAATGTTAGTTAAACTTTGCAAGAAATAAGGAGTATTATTACCTCAACTTTATAGGACTGAGCCACAGTAAGATTAAAGATAAAAGCTATCCTCTCCTAAGAAGTGAATCACTTGAAGTGCTGTGATTTCTCAGGGTACCCAGTGTCACAGTCGATGTTTACACTAGACACCCAAGGGCACCTTGAGAGATCAGGACATTTGGTGTGCTGCTCATAGCACAACCCTGTGATCCAGCTACAATCATGCACAGCATTTTACACACTTGAAGGCTAGATCCCATTGACTTCCATGGCAGGGGTAAGTACTCCACCCTTCTGCAAATTATACCATAGGGTTCCTATGGGGACTGTTGAGAAAAACATGGGTAGTGATAAATTAGGATGAGCTGGATGTTGGTGAGTTGCTGGGGTGGGTTGAGGCCAGCTAGTGGCAGCTCAGACCCCTGCCAGTTGCTTGCTCACTTTCACCCATATGGATGGGGGAGAGAATTGGAAGGGCAAAAGTGAGAAAAACTCATGGGTCAAGATGAAGGCTGTTTAATATATGAACGGAGGAAAAAAAAAAAAAAAAAAAAAGAAAAAAAAAATCCCAGCTGTTGCAAAGGCAATCACTCATCACCTCCCACCAGCAGACTGATGCCCAGCCAGCTTCCGAGCAGCAGCTACTTTGGAAAAAAACCCTTCATTTTTCATTGCTGAGTATGATGTTATATGGTGTGGAGTATCTCTCTGGTCAGTTTGGGTCTGCTGTCCCCTCCTGACCTCTTGCCTACTCCCAGCCTATTGCTGGGGCAGCAGAGTGAGAAACAGAGGTGGCCTTGATGCTGTGCAAGCACTGCTCAGCAATAGCAAAAGCATCGGTGTGTTATCAACACTGTTTTGGTCACAAATCTAAAACACAGCACCCTACAGGCTGCTGTGAAGAAAATGAACTCCACCACAACCAGACCCAGTGCAGTTGTTCACGTTACATAGGCACTGCCTGGCAGAGTCAGAGTCTTTTTCGCTAGCACTGAAGCCACCAGCTTTGAAAATAAAAATTTATTTTTTCCCCTGCCTCTTCTCTGACCTTTACAAGAAGTGAGGCAGAACTCTTAAAGACTTGAAGTTTTCTTCACTATACAAATCTGTGGTTGACATCTTGCTTCTATGCTGTGCAGATTTCCACTGGGAAGGATAAAAGGCCATTCCAGACACAAAGATCATCTACCCACCAAATTTCTGGACTGTGCTCCAAAGCCTGGGAAATGAGAAGTTTTTTTAAAAGTCTTAAGTTTTTGACATAGACAACAATATATACATTTTCCCCTAAGTTCTTTCTTGGAAATGACCGAAAATTTTCCAAAAAAATTATCAAAAGAAGTCCAAACAAAATCAGCCAGAGGCATCCAGCCAGCAGGAGAAATTACAGCTAGAATGACTGAACTTTGGCAAAGCTATAAGGTCCTTATAATGGAAAGTATTGGGTAACTTTAGTGAAAGGCCAAAACCAGTTGAGGAATGAATAAAGAATGGCCAATGATTTTAATCTTCCATCTATCATGCAACCCTGTAAAGGGAAGATATAACCCAAAATGTGTTTGGAGATATCTATGGAGAGGACACAAGGGAACAAGCTGATTTTGACATTTCTGTTGTCACTCCAGGCTGTCAGGTCTTCTAAAGGCCATACAAAGCTTTATCCCCCAATAGAAGTGTTAGTTTTCTCTACTTGAGGTATTCATGAGAAATGAGATATGTGCATCCACATCTCTCAGATCTACGTAAATTTACCCACAAGCCTACTTGAGCAATGAGTTACAGACTTCAGCTGGTGCTTTCAAGCTCAGCATTAGCCACTCAGACCTCCCTAGGCAGAATGTAGACCATCCTTTTCCCTACTTGGAAGATGACTGCTCAGCATGCAGCTGGCTTGCACAGTCTTGTGTAAAGGATATTCCAGGCATTTCAGTTTAAAGTTCAGCAAACAAAAGCTGTTACTAGCCCTTTTCAATGCAGGTGCTACAGTAGAGTACTGGGATTGAAAAAAACTCCCTTATGCTCTGGCAACAACACATCTGCTGCTGCTAACAGAGCGCGGCAAGGCCGCCAGCTCTCTGCCTCCCAGAGAGGCAAAAGCGCAGAGACCAAGAGCAAAGCTCCATATTACTCGACGGCTCTCTTGTTACTGCAGGGACAGTTGGGATAGAGAGGGAAAGATTCTGCTACACATGTATAAAATAAAACTTTTATGTGCAGAGTTTTCATGCTGTCATTTGTAATACCATTTCCTTCATGGAAAGAGACCAGGTATGCTTGTTGACAGAGAAATTTTTGGTCAAAACGTGCCAAAATCAGCATGAACTGCAGAACAAGTATATGAACACGTGTTCGTTCAAACTTTTCCCTTATGATCTGAGATCTCTGGGGTTTCTTGGGCAATGGAGAACCGCAATAGCGGGGAGTAGTGTGAAGCATGGAGCAGCAGTAAACACTGTGTTCAGCCCATGTACCATATGCAATGCAAGCAAGAAACATTTCCCAGGGGAAGGAAAACAAGACAAGACACCAGAGTCATCACGTGACCACTGTTCCTGGGGGCTGTTTATAGGTTTAAGTATGGGGGTTTTGAGTCTTCTATTGCCATTTAATTTTCTGTGTTTAGGAGGATTACTAGTTTTATATTTGCATTAGACTTTTAAAAGTATACTTTAGAATAGGTAACAGACAACTGATCTATTCATAATGTTCTTTTTTCCCCCTTGAGATACTTGCCTTTGTAACAAAGTTCAGTTTTTCTGTTTGTTACACGGATGTTGTCAAACAAGTAGCCAAATATATGCAGAAGTATCGGAGAACACTTGGATAGCAAAATGATAACACAGAGTCATTTATGTTGGAGGCAACCTTGGGAGGTCTCTGGTCTAGCCTCCTGTTCCAAGCAGGATCAGCTGTGAGCTTAGACCAGGTTGCTCAGTGCTTTGCCCAGCTGGGTCTTGAAAACCTCCAAGGATGAAGATTGCACAGCCTCCCTGGGCAACCTGTGCCCCTGTCTAGATGTACTCAGGCTGAAAAAGTTTCTCCTTCTATCCTGTCTGAACCTCTCTTGTTTCAACTCATGTCTGTTGTCTCTTGTCCTCCTATCATGGACCACTGTGAAAAGCCCAGCTCCATGTTCTCCAGAACCTCCCCATAGGAAGCTGCTATCACCTGCCAAGCTGCCGGGGCATGCTGATGGCGCCTGTTCATCTTGCTATCCTCACAGCCCTTTCTGCAGAGCTGCTTCCCAAGCACTCAGTACCCAGCCTGTCCCGTTGCAGTAGGTTAGTCCATTCCAGGAGCAGAAAATTGCACTTGTTCTTGAATTTCAAAACATTTCTGTTGGCCCATTCCTCCAGCCTGCCTAGGTCCTAGCACTACTTCCAAGCACAGTGACTACACTCCCCAGTTTGATTTCATCTGCAGACTTAATGAAAGCGTACCCCATCACCTCCTTCAGGTCAGTAATAAGGGATAAAATAGGATAGATGTCACTTGTAACTGGTCTCCAGACAAGGAGGGGAACCATTAACCACTACCCTTTGAGCCTGATGATTCAGCCAGTTTTTCATCCATCTAATAGTTTACCTATCTTGACCATAACACCCCATCTTGGATACAAATACATTGTGGGAGACTAGAGTCCAGTCATTCCATCACAAGGCACTGAGGTTGGTCAGACATACCTTACCCTTGGTTCCCAATCACTACCTTCTTCATCTCTGCAGAAGCCAATGAGACTTGCTCAAGGATTTTCCCAGAGACTGAAATGAGGCTTACTGGCCTGTAGTTTCCCAGATTTTCCTTCTTGCCATTTCTGAAGATGGGTGCAGCAGCTGTCTTTCTCCAGTCATTAGTGACTTCTCCCAATCTCCATGACCTTTCAGAGATGACAAAGATGACTTGCAGTGACATAGTACAATGACATAAACTAGCCTTTTTGGGACGCTTGGACAAACCCTATCTAGTGCCATGGACTTGTATATATCAAGGTTTCCCAATAAAACAGTGACTCAATTCTTTGCCCCTTTTTTGAGTTTCCCTTCTCCCTGACCATTGCTGCTAGGCACAAAGGCCTGAGAGACCTTGTGGGTGAAGACTAAACCGAAGAATTCATTGCTCTGCCCTGCATTTGCTGGCACTGCTACATTCAGGAGTGGGTCCATTTTGGAGACTCTGAGGTGCTCCTGACAGTGGTCTTCTCTCCTTTGATGTTTCCAGAGAAGTCCTAAGAAGAATCATATGGCAAAGATGCTTCAACACAGTTTGCTTTGGCCCATCTCATAGAAGCAATAGTATACATTGTAGTAAAGGCAGGACATCTGAGTGAATCTGCTGTGGAGCCACATACTTTCTGTTTACCCCTGCAAGCCTCCCTCAGCCCAGCCAAATAGCTTAACTCTATGTTATTGTATTGTATTTTACATACTGATAGTATCTGTGTTTGCAATTAAAGCAAGCTAAAACTTGTAAGACATTTTCATGTCCTGTTGTCCCAGACGCTACTTCTTTCACGGAACTACAACACAGAATGCAAGATTTTGCTGGTGGTTGATGTAGCCCTTTGGTCGCACCGGAAAAGGGAGGGAAAAGTTTGAGTCATTCAGCGATAACCACAGGGAAATATAGCTCCATCCACATTAATTTGCAGAGAGGAATTTGAGGTTTGGATGATACAGAGGAGGAATTACTGAGGGGAAAGGACTTCCCAGGCTCTGCTGGTAGAAGGACCTTCCAAAGTGCAGATGGATTTTATAATTTCTGTAATTCTTCTAACTCTGTGTTTCTCATTTTATGAGTGTGAGCTGTCTCCGCTCCCCTGCCCCTTCCCGTTGGGCTCATTTGTCTTTGTGTAACCCTGATTCAGCAGCAGCTCAATGCCTCTCGGGATGAGGGTGAGAACTGGCTGTATTTGTTGGCTACAGGAACAAACATTACCTTGCCTGAGAGGAACTGAGCTGCTGCCAGCAAATACTGTCAGCTAACGGAGCCTTGGCTGTAACTGCGGCCACCTCTCATTTTCCCCTCCTGTAGGGAGTGAGCTTCTTCTGTCTAACAGTGCTTTCTGGTAACTCTTCGTGATGCCTCAGACCTTCTTGCAGCCTTGGAGTGACGGAAAGGGACATGGAAGTGTGATCTCCAATTTCAGAAAAAGTGTTCAACATCTTCCAGAAGAAGTGACAACTGTGATGAATTGATGGATGACCAGGCTCTAAACATGTAAAAGCATTTGGATAGTGGTACTTACCTGTCTTGACAAATGTCCCAAGTAACAATGGGACCCTAAAGCCAGTCCTTTTATCTATACAGTTGGATGCTCATCTGGGCTTGCCAATGTACCCATGCCCTTAACATCTTAGCTCCAAGCTTTAAAAAAAGAAAATAATTACAGCAAAGTTCCATTTTTCTATTTATTCAAACTAAATTATCTTGTTATGGTGTTTGAGGTAGTCATTTGGGTGAGGAGAGTTATGGATTTAGAAAGATTGCAGAGCATTAATTTCATCTTGGTCCTACTGAAGTCAGTAATAGCCCAATTTCCACTGACTGCAATGCATTTGCTCTGCACACTAGGTGCTTGTGAAGAACTGTTGGAGCTAAGCTAGTTCACAAACCTGAGTTTTGCATTATTTGGAAAAATATGGACTCTGTAACCCTGTTTATGTCTTCTCAGAATGGATTCCAGTCCCAATTCAACTTTAAATCCATGAAATATGAAAATCCTCTCAGCACTGATACCAGGTACAATACATAGTCCTGTTACGAGGCATGGCCATGATCCAACTTCTTTCATCCAGCTAGAAGCAGACTGCTCCTGTGAGCCCTCCATTTTCTGCACTTTAGAGAGTCTTTGCTGACTTTGGTAGTTGCCCCAGAAACACAACTGCTGTAGGAGGTGATAATGCAGGAAATTAATTCATGCACTAATATAGCTATGTGGGAATCTGATCATCAGTCAAGAAATTTTCAAATAGTTTTCTTACATGGTGGGGTCAAAATGTGAAGAATGCAGCATTGGGATATGATCTACCCTGCGAACCAAGTAGGCTGCAGCATTCTATACCACTGGGAGTGTTTTTCAAGGTGGTGGCAGTTCTCGTAATGGGTTGCTCTTACCAAAAGGCGACTCTGAATCTGAGTTCAACAATACTGCAACCAATAACTGCAAAGAATGAACATGAAAGCTGAAAGTTCATGACTTGTATGTGTCCAGGTAAGCTCCATTCAGTGGCTCGTTTGCGACATTTTAAATTACATATTAAAGTCTCTGTTCTTGCTAGTTTTATGGTAACTTTATGCTGGTCATGTAAAACGCCCTTACGACTGATATATGCAGGCGTATTCACTTGGTTGTAGACCCTGGTGATATAGAATCAGCTGAATGACTTCAGAGCTACCAGCTCCTCCTGCTGTTGCTGATAGTCTGTGATTGTGGGTTTTCTGGTAACTGAACAACTTTAACAACTTTAACTGCCCCATAAACTGTCAGCAACCGATGTCTGATCTTATTTACACCCAAGCCTGGACAGATGTGCAGCCAGTATGGGTCTGGGGTGCTTGGGGATCGCAGGTGAAGAGCCTTGTTCATGGTCCGATGTGCTAAGCTTTCTGCAGGAATTAATTGGTCATGCGGCCAATACTTTTGTTAATGTTTTTCTTGGCAAGAGTGAACTGAAATGGTTTGTATATAATTGCACGGCTTTACTTTGAGTTGTGCTTCCCAATTATGCTGATGGGCAGCATTTTTGGCTATTAAGAAATCTATATATAATCTTACACTGTACACGGTGATGATATATGAATTGATATTGGAACAATGACTGAATTCCTTCATGGTTTATTAATACTATTGTGAATTTAAACAATTTTGATTAAATGCTTGTGCAGACTCGTGCTGTTTTATAGCCATGGGGCGCATTTGGACAGAGAAATTTTCTAACTTGTTTATGTAAATATCAGTCCTGATCAAAACATGGAATTTATGTGTTTGGGAAATTTTGCAGTTGAAAATTAGGAATAATGTTAATCAAAAGAGAAATTACATTTGAAACCTGTTTTCCCTACACACCATGGTACCAGAAATTGAAGAAATGCTATCTATTTAGAAAATTGTAAATTTTGGTTTGAAGTTTGAAATTTTGGTTTAAACTTTTAAAACGTTTCCTGTATTTCTTGTTTTATGTTTTTACATTTTTATATTGATATTAATTTATGCATTACTTTATGACTTCAGTGGGACTATGTTTTATTATATTATTTAAAAAAATCATTAAGATTGATTTCTGTTTACTACTCAATAAAGCATTATATCTTCTCAGTGTAACTGTCCCGTTTCTGTTTGGCTGAAACATTTTATCAGGCTGTTCACTTCCAATACAAACAGGAAATACTTGGACAGGAGTGACATACCAGTTCTTTGAAAAAAACAGAAGTCACTGTGACCAAGGAAAGAAGTTCCATTCAGTGACAGAAAGCAGTGCACAATAATGATTTTAAAAGATAGTACCACTCAGTAAGGGAATAAAATATTTTAGCTATGTTGTTAGTTTGTATTACTTTATGCTATGTTATCATATGTTAGCTGCAATAGTGTATAACACGCCCTAAGTTATAGAAATTATTTAAAAATGAATACATGACAAATATGACTATAATTTCAGAATGATGAAGTTTCATAATGTACAATGAATTTTTTTTCTTGAAATGGTCGACATTTGTGCTGAAAATCTTTGGGGGTGGAGTTCATTGGTATCAACATATTTTTAAATGTTTCAATTTGCACTGGAAAATATTTTGATTGAAAAGTCAGCCACTATTTTAGGTACTGTTAGACAGGATGGCAGTTTATTAAAACCTGAGTATGAAGGAAATGAACACATTTCAAGGACATATGCAGATGTGGATGTAGATAGTGCTGCTTGTTTCCTGAGAGGCAGACTGAGCTGCCATTAAAGTCAACAGAAGAGATCCTATTTACCTTTCATCTCTTACAGGAGTGGGTATTATTTAGTTCTTTAAAAGCTATTAAATACCTTGTTGAACATCAACTGCTCTTTGAAGATGCTCATTTTAGAGCAGTTTTACTGCTTTTGCTCCTTCTGATGGGGCTAGCTGTAGAAAGCCTAGTAAGGCGGCATCTTTACAGACATCCTTTGCTTTAAACTTTTACATTCAACAGCTTGGAAGACCAGAAGCTGTCAGTGAAATCTTGGCTCTTCTGAAGTCAATGGGATATCTGCCACTGGTTTCAGCAGAGCCAGGATTTCACTGCATGTTGAGAGGGTTACCTTTTTTTTGTATTTTATTGGCAGAAAGGAAAGCTGTGCAAATCCAATACAGTTAAGCAAACATATGATGGGTTTGGATGTGTAACTCCTCTTTGTATGCCTATTAGAGGCAAGTTGTGCTGGAACCTGCCCGTGCTCATTGCAAGCAAGTGGCAGAGCGATCACTGAATCATAGCAACCCGCAAAGTTGTTTCAAAGCCAGAATTTTCCATACATCTGTAGGAAATGATGTTGCAACACTAGCAATGATGTAGCAAAGATCAAGGCAAAGCTATATAGAGGGAAGGTGATTATATTTGAAAAATGAAACGAGATTCATTCATACTCACACTCTTGTGCCAATATGCTGATGGTGACAAGCACCAGGAGGGGTATGTACCCAAACTGATGCATTCAGGCATCCATATGTGAGTACCCAGGTGGTCTGGCTGGGACTCCTTGGCAGGTAGGACAAGGGATGCCACCTATGAAGTCCTTCCCACATCTCCTGGTTTCTTCTTAGGTTGATGACAATGACCTGGGTTTGTATGTGCCTCTTTTGTACCATCTGGAAGTTAAGAATCATTAGTTACTCCAGCCTGGCCCATCTCTGTGTCTCCCAGTCTGGGTGTCCTGGGAAGCTGCACACAGATCATCTGGGGACTTCATGGGCTGCTAATCCAGGCACTGTCAGCAGCTGTTGTGCTCATAAACCTTCCCCTGCTGCTTCTTCAGGTGGTTGCTGACCTTTCCAGTCCTGCTCCATTTGTACTAGTCCTAAGGTTTCTACTGAAGTTCTCTACAGGTTGATGCAAAATTCAGCAGACTTTGTGTGCAACTTTTTCAAGGTCTATACAAATCCGAGCTACTTGTGAAGAAATACAGCTCCCTTTTCACTTATTTTACTCTCAAAGTGTCTCTGTTCTGATGCTAAGACTAACTTTCCCTCTCAGGAAAAAATCTATCTTGTAATGGATAGTTTGTCAAGATTGCAAAAGTTCACTGAATAATTCCTGTTTATGTATATTTTTTGTATTACATCATATTGGGAGGCCTTGACAAGACATTTTTGTGAGTTTATGCTAAAAATAATCATCTTTTTCAGCTTAACTGCTTAGCTGTGTGATTAAGAGAGACCCATTTGATGAGGCCCCCTGGTGCCAAGCCCTCTGAGTAAAAGACATTACTATCTGCCAAATTGTAAACATCACATACTTTGATAAAAGATCTCAGATAAAAGAACAAGATAGTAGAGGTATCTTAAATCTATTGTCTAATGGTTAGTGTAGCTTTTGTCTTTTACAGACTGTTGCCTGTGAAGAACTGTGTGAAGTTGACCAAATTAGAAACAAGATAGATTTCTATTCCAGGAATGAATGAAGGCTCTAAAATGAAATGCAAGAACCACCTTCCACCCACAAAAAGCAGTCCAAAAGTAAGATTTTGATTTATTTGGTTCTACACATATTTTTGTCATTAAGCTTTGTAGCATATTCTAAACTTTTGCAGCACAGTTATGCATGTTAAGCCACCGATTCCCACATGGTGAGCAAATGGCAAAGAAAACACTTGTGTCACCACAGTTGAGGAAAAGAGAAAGTCCCAGGCAGAAGAATGCTCTCTCAGTCACGTTAGCCTACATGGAGATGACACCACACAGGATTTCTGGGCTTTTCTCAGCTGTCTTAGGACACCTGCCTGAGCTCCTTTCAGTCACAAGAGCAGAGTAGGACAGAATTTAATGAGACCACAGTAAGGAGAAAAAAAAAAAAAAAAAAAGGAAATGCTAGCTAAGATTAGCTAAGATCTTTAATTTTAGATAGCTGGGCAGAGTTAGCTGCACAATTTTGGAATAAATGAGTCAAAATCGCAGATGGTCATGAAAAAGAGGAAGTAAAGCTGTTGATAGTAACAGCAGAGTTGCATCAGCTAAGCTGATGTGTGTGTGTGCATGCAAACATCAGGATCTTCAGAACAAGAGCCTGTAGCCTGGTACAGAGCCCATTCACATCTGCTGGAGTCCCACCACGGCCAGTGGCTGCCACTGACCCCTGCCTTTGAAGGCAAGAGGCTCCCTGGACTCTTTATTTTTTATAAAACAGGGACAACAAATTGCCAAGCCATTGTCATCCTCTGAGTGGCTCAAAACATAATTTCTGTAAGTGGGTGCTATATATAAATTGGGAGTTGGATATATAAACATTTCATTCATTTATTTATTTATTTGACTTAAAAGCTTGGCTGTCCTACAGACTTCTGCTTGCTCAGCTGTGTCAGTTCTGGGCCTGAAGAAGGGCGGAGAGTGAGACAGCTGTCCTGCAGCTCTTTTGTACTATTCAGCACCTGCAGTTTCTGTCAGAGGTGGGAGAGGAGGGATGGAGGGAGCTGCAGCAGCACAAGTCCTTGGACACTGCCTGTGTTCACACAAGGGACAGTTCACTACATAATATACCCAGCAGATAGTAGCTCCTGGAGGAGAATCCAAGAGGGATGCAATTCGCTCCAAATCAAAATATAGCTGCAGCTACAGAGATGCTCATTGTCACTTCCCAGCAGAGATGTTTCATCAAAGGTGGCCTCTCTCCTCATGTTGGAAGGCCAGAGTCATTCTGTGAAGTTTTGTTGGCCTATGCCTTATCAGAAAGGAGCATAAAAACATGCACTCCCAAACTGAGAGACATCCTCACAAATTCTGTATGTATTTGTAATGTTGTTATATGAAGTCCTTTTACTGTATGAGCACAAAACATTTACTGGTGAAATTCATGTCTTCACTAAAGGTGCTTGCCAGTGTTTAATGGTCCTCCTTACTGAAGTACCACCTAATGCAAGGGGAAAAAAGGAAGTCCAAGGATCTATTTGCACAGTGTTGCCAAGACAGTTTTCACTACAACCAAATACTAAGGCTAGGCATTGATTAGTTTTATTTTCTCTCGTTTTGCCTGCTTGCTTGTTTGCATCTGTGGGAATATGTGTGCGTGCGTGTGGTTTTTTAATGTTTTTGCAATTGTTTCACAGTCTCCCTTCTGATGTCTTGAAGACCACACATTAAGGAACACTGGGTGTAGACTAATTGTAAGACTTTCCTAGTAGCATGAATTTAAGCTTGAAATCCCTTCTGCTCTTTTCTTTTTCTTCCCACAAACAATATCAAAATGCCAATAGACAGAGAGACATTTTTCATATGGGAGCATATTTATCTTTCATCATTCAATGTGCTCACATGCTGGAAGCATAAACCCATCAGAGTACGGGACAAGCCAACACGTTACTTTGAAGTAAATTAAGGACATGAATTTACAGCATAGCTGCATCCTGGTGATAACTGTAGTTTCTTTCCATTTTCCCTTCATATGAAGTAGTTTACCTGCAGGCATGGCTTGCAGTCTGCTGGCTGCAAGGAAGGAACCCACACCAAAGTAACTGTTGCAGTAAGGTCATGGCTGTGAGAATTTGTTTCTGATTTTTTAAGGCTCACTACAGTGGAGTGAAGATTGCTGAAACACAGGCAAAAAGCAATGAAATGCCATGTAAAAAAATAATATGTGCTTCGTTTAAAATATATATATGTATGTGCTCTTCTCCTTCAAAGTAAAGTAAATGAACACACCACAGAAATAGTGCTTCATATTTCTTTTAGAAGTGGGATATTTGTTAACATTGTTAGATGGACACAAAGCCAGATGGCTTCATTTTGAATTGTTATATGGTGTTCTTTTTCCACTGTGCCTAACAAAAAAATCATTTATGAAGCAAAAGAAAAAAACCCTTATATTACGTAACTGTTAATTCAGCCTCAAAAAAGGAAAAAAAAAAGCAGCCATTTGGGATTCCATGGAAATATTATTGGATTCTTGCTGAAAATATATTGCCTAAGACAAACATTGGATTAAATGACAACTATTATAATGGCACCTTCGTGACCAGTACATGCATTCATGGGAAAGTGGTTAATACTCCCTGCAAAGTGGCTGAACTTTTCAGAGGCAAAAAAGTGTGCTTTTTTTTTTTTTTCAGAGGCAGTCAATGTTTTCTGAAAATTCACGTTGCTGGAAGTGCCCAGGAGCTCCGGATGACTCTGAACATCTCCTGCTAGTAGTGCTTTCCCAATAGCCCCCAGCACCCAGAGCACAGCCCAGACAAAGCCCATAAGGAACAGCGCTGTTGGGTGGCAGATGATGAAAATGAAGTAGAGAGGAGCCATGCATCATGTTGTGCGATGGTGACAGGGCCAGGAATAAACCTAGACCTCCTGACTCCCTACCTTGTGATCTCCCCACTAGACATCTTCCTGTTTTCCTTTGAAAATGTTGACAGCTTACTGGAGAGGAAAATCTACAAACATTACACATTCCACTGTCAAAAAAAGGGCTTTGTTATTTGATATAGGAACTCTTTTAATTATTGCGGTAACTACACAGCATGAGGTCGCAAAGGGCAAATTTGTTAGCAGCATTTATGAGTGATCTCTCCATGGGTAGCACACAAGTCCAAAAAAACTGGCTTGACACACTGAAGTCTTTTACGCAGTCCCATTCAAGAACATTTTAATAACAAGAATCATAACTTTTTTGACTGGAAATAGTGAAATTGGTACTGATCCAGTGAGAACTGACCTGATTTTTCATGCACCACTTGAATCAACACCAAAAACTGTTCCAGCTCCCGTTTCTTTGGATTTTAGTTTCAGATAGCAACAGATGTACACAAATCCAAAGAGACAGTTTTTCCCTGTAGGAGCCAAGAATTCAAGCAAAACTTCATACACCTCTGTCACACTGACTGTACTTCAATAGTTTGATTTTTCAGGAAATGCAAACTTGTTATTAGCAGGACCAATTAGACATCTGAGTAGCTAATTTAAATGCTTTCATTAGTCGCAGAACATTTTTGTTGTTTTGTATGAGTATCTCTGTTAAATTTATTCACAATAAGCCATTTTTGCCACTTCTTTATAGTAGGACTCTTAAAGGGATTAGAACTAAAATATGTCACAGACAAAAGCTCTCCCTTCTATAGAGTAAACACACAGTAAAAAAAAAATTAAAGTATTTAGCCATGTAAAAATATCATATGCAAACTTATATCATGAGTTTCTCTGGGTCTGAAGTCAGTAGCAAAGTTCTGTCACCTTTTCACCTTCTTACACTTAATGGTATGAGGCACATTGGATTCAGCACGGGTAAGGCTAAGAGAACCTGGCAAGCTTTCTTCTTAAAAAAACACAAACATTAGCCTACATCTAAGAAGCCAAAGCACACATTTTTGGGAATTTTGCATCACACTCAGAATTTGGTCTGTGCCTGAATAAGGTGCACTGGTTTAATGGAGCATCCTGCTGGTGTAATTCTGACCCCAGGTTTGCATTTTGCATTGCTGGAACTTGTATGAACTCTGCACCCCTTTTTCAAGCAGGTTGTACAGTGGCCGTGATGTTACGATGACCATGCTAGAAAAGGTCTTTCCATGGCTATGTTAAAAAAGAGTGATGGTAAGCAATGCTGATGGAGATGAAAACAGCAACTACAGTGATGACATCATAAATGTCAGCTCTGAAAGAGTTTCACA